GTCTTCAGATTTAACAATACCAACTAAACATATACATATGTATGTATGTATGTACTTTTGTATTTGTTGTATTCATTTTCATTCAATTTGGCGGATTCGTCATCGCTAACTTTGTTTTTGTCGCTGTCGACGCAACTACGTGCGTTTGTTACGCTCGACTCTTCTAACGCGTTTCAATCATTAAGGCAGCACGTTAAACATTAATTTGCGAGCTGTCCAAAGCAAGAAATATTGTTGTTGCTGCTTTATTTCAACCTGGTCGACTGCCTGACGTCACTTCTGTGTAACTTACAAAACAAAACAACAACAACAAAAATGCTAAGCGTTTGGAGAACTGACAGCGAATTGCATTTCATTTCAATTGCTGACGTTTTTAGAGCTGCATTCTTATTGTTTTTGTTGTTCTGGACTAGCTACTGAAATTTCCTCAATTGACATCCATTAAATGCATTTCTCGAGCGGCAAATTTTGTGTAATTCAAACACGACATAATGCCAGAGCCGCACCTTTTAATTTTTAAGCCAACGTAGCAAATAAACGCCCCCGAGCTTGTCAATACCATTAACCAGGTAACAATAGTTTTCATTTACTGGCCAGCACGCTTTTATTTGCCTTTTCAATAGAAAATACTTGTAAGTGCCACAGTTGTATTCCCTTCATTAAATCGACTTCAAAGCCTAAGGGTTCCCTGAAATCAAGCTGCAAAAACTACAAACGCTTTGGTTTTTTATTGAAATAAGTCGCCCTATGTCTGATCTCTTAAGGAATTTTTTGATCTGCGTTTAATGATTTCTTAAAGTATTAATTTGATTTGAAAGCACATCGGCCACTTATTCAGATATATACAAAATTGGACCCTGAAAACGATCTTCCCAATCTAATTCTTCAACTTGACATTGAAATAAAATATTGATACTGATAATATATTAAACGAAGCGCATAAATATATGTAATTGAAAAACTATGATTTGGTTTATTCTTTTCCTAATAACGTTTTAAAAATTAATCTGTTTTTTTTTAAATCTCTAACAAACACATTATCAATTCTCTAAAATACGTTTTAAACACTTTTAAAGATCACTTTTAAGATCACTATCTTATGAACAACTCATCTGATATTTTAGAGTTATGTTTGGAGAAAGAGTTGTTGTATGAAAAACATTTTGCTTATAAAGATATGGAACCAACTTGATTAATAAGAAAGTTATTGTCATACCTGAACACGGCTTATGTTAGCTGGATTTTACCCTATTTAAAATTTGGATGTGAAGTAAAAGAAATCTAAATTGGCTCCTCACTTTGCTCTCCAATTTAAAAGCTCTGCATTATTTATCTAGCATTTTTTTCCGACCAAGAACAGAACTTGGCAGCTTAACAACTAGCCCCAATGAGCTCAACAAAAAGACTAAACTTGAACTTAGTTCAGTGAAACGAACTACACCCATGCTATGCGAGCAAATTGCGAGTAATTTTGCGAATTTAATGGGACATACAAGTATTTGTACTATTCGTGTCAGCCATGTGCAAGAACTTGTCTTCTACATTTGTGAATACAGCAAGCTCATTATTGTATTATCTTCGAAAAGCTCGATTCAGAAATTATTGCAAAACCTTAGAAGTGCAGTTCCCCCCCGTACTCGTACAAAGAGTATATAATGACGATGACATGTAAAAAGTGTAGTTAAGTAATTGTTAGAACCAATGTGAAGGTAGGTGAAATATTCGTAGAAAGCTATTAATAATAAAAATAGACTTTCATCGAAATGATTAACAATTAATGTGGTATAGAAAAAAATTGCTTATTAATTGAAAAAAGGCAATTAATCTTAAACCAATTAAACTTTCATATTACAAATATTGTGACCTAAGGGTTCTTTCAATATCTTCTCTGTAAATATGTATTTGCATGTTAGGAATAAGAGTAATTTCTGTACAATTCGTGCATAGAATCGTTTCATAAAAATCCTAATCGATTTTATTGTCTTTGATATACAAACATTGTAAATTATGCATCCGCCAGTTGTGCAAATTGTTTAGGAATATATAGAGTATTCGAGTATATGTATATAGTATACTAAGTATATTTGAGTATTTATCGTAAGGGGTTTTATTAGAGCAGAAAGCGATTGTTTATGTCCAATATTATCATATCCAATGGACATGCAACACAGACTGTATTATTGATGGCGGTATTAGGTTTTTATTGGCGCATTCTACATACGAAATAGTGACCCCCACCCTGGAAATGCTCTCCACTCGGCTATTTGATTGCCATTATGGCTGTGGGAGCCACTGTCGCTAATGGCCAGAGTTTGTGTGAGATTTGTTATGGAAATGAATACATGAATATAAACAATACATGGCGTGTAGCACTTGGACGATTAACAATTGAACTCTGTGTGTTACGAAGGCCGTGACGTGGTGCCAAAAGGTTAGTTTACGAAAGCGTGTTCTGGACACATGCGCTCTCTGGTCTGCTGCCCCACGGTGGCAGAGCAAACAAGAAGGCGCCGCTAAGCGAACAAATTGCCATCAAGGGTATTATGCTGGCTATGTGCACCTCTTCTTTGTGTCGCTGCATCGACGTGACTTTGTGGCACGTTCATGAGGTGCACTGTGGTTTGGGACCAGAGCCAGGTAGAAAGAGTACGGACTGGAAAATGGCGCCATGGTCGCGTGGGAGTCGCTGCAACTGAGTTGATTTAACAGCTTTCTATTTGTGGGTTTTTCCGGGTAAGCGAGACTTGTTTGCTGAGCAGAATGAAGGTAGATTTTTAAGGAAACAGCATGCGGCCATGGCCAGTGCATTACTAATCCGACTTACGAAGGACTTAATACATAAGCAGCATAATAAGCAAAGCACAATTATTGCGAAACAATAAAGTTTACAACCTAATATCTGAATAATAATACATGTGATAACATTTGGTACGTATTCAAACGGTTTATGGATGAGCTTTTATGAGTACTAATGAATTGTAAAAAAGGAGCGCAGCAAAGATATATCTAGGAACTAAATAAGTTTAGCATGCTGTGGAAATTATGTGCAAGATTTTCCCACTTCGTTGTATTGCTGCATGCTGCTCATATGAGTATAATAGTCCAAATATATAATGTAAGCGCCAGTATGAATGTAACAGGCAGGGGAAGGAGAATAGCTAGATATAGACTTCTGATCCGTGAACTTTCGAACTCGTGTATACATCCAAGTTTAGTTTAATTGAAATGCTGTTGCGGAAAAAAGAGTGGGCTCTGGGTATTTATCGTTCTATTTGTTTCTTGTTCGACTGTTTGTTTAATGGAATTAATTATGAAAGATTTTGGGAACTTCACCACCACGATTGCGTCTGTTGAACTGGATTCTGAAGTTATTTTTCAAAATTTTCCCACTAGCATTGGGTACGTTTAAGAAATTATCTTATTTCGACGATTGTATACAAGTGTAGAAGAATACTAACATTTAGAAAATTTGTATTTTAGATTATAGAAAATATTCCTACTAGTAATGCCAAAATTTTAAGCGCCATTTAGACAAGCATCTTTTATTGCAGTTTTTTGCGGATTAAGAAAGTGTTTTTGGAAAGCTGACATTAATCAAGCATTTTATCCCAAATGGATTTTTTTTGCAGTGTTGGATTAAACAAAGAAACTGCAATTGCAATGCATTTTTCACATTTGTTTAAAATCTCTAAGTGGGTTTTCTAGCATTCTGTTTTGTAGACAGTATGTGGGCCAAGGTATAGAAATAAGAATATGTGTCTAAATGGTATTTAGTTTCAGTTATTTACGTAGACATTAATAAATTGAAAAAATCATAAACAATTAATAGGAAATTAACTGAAAAAAATCTACAACAAAAACAAATGATTTTGTGAATCAAACAAATCGAGACATTTTTAAACAGCTCTCCAGAAATTATTTGTGCAATTTTAGTTTGATATTTCTCCATTTTATTTAATTAACTAGAAAAGGCTAAGTTAACATTAAGATATCTTTACCTCTCTTGTAAATTCATGTTTTTAAAAAAGTGAATAAATTGAAAATTGTAAAATTTCAGCAACAATTAAATTATTAACATGAAAACATGCATTTATAAAGAAACTTCTAATACTTCTAATTGTAGCTTTTTCCGCTTTTCCTACTTTTAGGGGGATTTCTACCAATTCTTTTTCAAATGTGTAAAAATTGTTGCAAGTAATTGCATTTGAAATTCAACACACAATTTCGTATGTTACGGTGGAGTTGCTATCGTAGTTCTGTCCAGAGTTATACTCGTAGGCAGCTTGGCATTCTAATGGGCTTCAAACCCTTTAGTAATGTATTCTAGATATAAATTCCTAATGCACTTACAAACGATGTTGCATGCCAAAGGGGGAAACGTGGTGTAAGCCTGTCTCTTTTGGTTTGGCACAAACACTGTGAACTACAGAGCCCCCACACACACACACACACACATGCATACACACATACATATCTATCCACTCGAGTGGGGGAGTGGAGCCGAAGCTGCCAACAAGGCAGGAGGGCCTGATAAAAGGGGAAGAAGGGGGCAGTCGGTGGAAGCGATGGCGTGGCGGCTTCGTTGCCATTTGGCTGCCGTTCGTTCGCTCGTTTGTTCTCCTTTTTACGTCTGTGTAAGGGGCAAAGAGTAGCGTGTGCTATGCGTGTATGTGTGTGTGTGTGTGTGTGTTAGCCCATGTGTCTGTCGGTGTGTGCGCGCGTAGGACTAGAAAAATACGCTCGCTGACTGGCTGACTGGTTGACTGGCTGGCCACCAAGGCAAGGTTGACATTGAGGCATTCACGCCCGCCGCACACACTACACGGCAAGCAGCTACAACAACAACAACAGCAACAACAACAACAAGAACAAGCACACCAACGCCATTTAAAATTGAAAGTGTACGTAAGCAAATAACTGACAAATTGTCCAACAGTTGCCATATCTAGCTAAATGACCAATAATGAGTAATTACGTGCACTAATGGCTGCTTAACTTACATTGCTTTTGAATTTGTTGTTGCTGGAGCTGGAGCTGGTGCTGGTGCTACCGTGGTCACTGTTCTTGTTGTTGTTGTTGTTCTTGCTAGGGCTTTTAGTAACGTTGCACAAGCTCCTCTGAAGGTTACTTTGATAATATCTATGTATGCGTGTATGTGTGTGTGTGTGTGTGTGTGTGTGTGTGTGTGTACGGCTACCTTTGTGTGAGTATGTTGTCTACGAGTGTGTCTGTAATAGCCGAGCAGCATTAAGGAAAAAATAACAAATAACAAATAAATGGGGGACGCTTATTCGCCACCGAGTTGAGTTGTACGATTATTGTATAACTTGTAAATGAAGCGGCAGGCGGTACCAGCAGGCACAGAAGAAGAAAGAAGTCAACGCATTGGCCTCGTTTCAAGAAATGCACACACACCAATTTTTCGACTTTTGAAAACACACCAAACCGAAACCGAACGCAATCAAATATTCACATACACAACCAAACGCACACACACACGTGCAAAAATGAAGAAAACGCGGTAGTAGGTCTCGTAGTACTAGTACTCATATGGCGTAGTAGGCGCGGTGTGCAGGTAACTTCGTAAAAGTGTCTCTGTGTGGGTGAGCAACGCGCAGTTGTGTATGTATGTGCATATACGTGTGTATGTATGCATGTATTTATGTTATTTGCAATCAAAACTTTACTGCTCTTCACCACAATCTGCTGCTGCACGATTAACAGCAATTTCGTTTAGCCCGAAACTCTTCTCACAAGACTTTTATGTGACAATTTTGTATTTTTTCTTAAACACTTTGTGCACTTACACTTGCTGTATTTGTGTGTGTGTGTGTGTGCCTTGTCTAACAGAATGTTTTCAGCCAAGCTCTACCTCCGCTCGTCACAAATCCGCGTTCAACACTGAAAGCTTGGCTGTTCGTTGTTTCTGCTCCAGCGGTTCAACGAGTTGGAGCTAGCAGCCCCAACGAGTTGGCGCCACTGTCTACACAAGCACCACGTTTGTTTGGCACTAAAAAAGCCACCCGATTTGCCTGCCTGACAAAAGCTCACAGCTAACCGCAATGCCAGCGCCGAGCTTTTGTTCGTTACTTTGTAAAATGGCCAGAAAGCTTTAAAATACTCAAAAATACTGAATGTTATTCATGTGCGCTCAAATATTAATTTGAATTTCAGAACGAACTAAAAACTAAAAAAGCTACAGATATGTGTATCTGGAATATAGGGAATACAGTCAATTAACAATAAAAAGCAAAAAGATTAAACAAATAATCTAGGCACTCGAGCAGAATTATTACGTTAATAACTTTTCTTAGAATTTACTGATTTTGTTGAAAATAGAGGAATATGAGATTCCAGCATCGCTATTAATGGATAGTTGGGCAGCGATTTCAGAACATACTCATATGTATGTACACACAAAAACGTGAATGAAAAATTTACCTTTTAGTTTATTGAACAAATTTGTATATTTTTATTATTTTTATTGGTGATTGCTTAAAATCTTTTTTTTAAATGTTTATTGTAAATTCAAGAAATAATAAAGGAAGAAAAAATCCCTGTGCTAACAGGAAAAATTATTAATGAAGAACGGGCCTTGAAAAACTTGGATTTTCTACATTTTTCTTCTTTCCCCATTCTTTTTGAGTTTAACATACACTTTAAAGCTTTTGAAACGAAATACATTTGCGATCCAGGGAAATAAATAAAAAGGCTAATCAATGTTTCAATCAATTAAATAAATTGAAGAATTTGGAAGTAACAACAGTTAAAGAATGCTGAAAGAATTGTTGTGTGTGTGGATTGGCGAGAGGAAAATTCTTGTAAAGATGCAGATGCATACTACATATAATATTATAACTAACTATAACTATTATAACTATAACTATGTATACTCGTGGATTACCAATTTCGATAATAATGTGTAAATTAATTAAATATTTATAATAAATAAATATATTTAAATGATAATAAATTAAAAACAAATAATTTTGCGTCCATCGACTATTTTTGATGAAACTTGAAATGATGGTGAGGCACAAAAACAGCTTATAGGTACATTTTCTTAGAATACCGCAATGAACAATAAAGACCTAATTCTGTTTTTACACGGTCTTTTTTACACGATTTTGATATAACACGGTGTTCTTTACAGATCTAAATCAATCATCTACATTTTTACACGGTTGTTTCTGGAACCAATCTACCGTGTAAAAACAGAATTAGGTGTAGTTTCGACCGATCGAAATATGGCAGCCATATAAAATAATGAGACTCTATAGGGATTGAAATGAACTTGCTCGACTTCAACAAGTCTAAACATGTACATACAGGTATATACCAAATTTTGTGCATCTACTTAGATGTTAAGGATCAGAAGAGCTCAGTGGTTAAACGGACGGGCAGCTGGACATAGATATGTACCTGTAATATGCTTGTTATATACTCATAGTATGTGGCTTTCAATCTTCGAATATATGGCTTAGCAACTATTTTGATCGTTTTTCGGCAAAGAGCGACAAATTATAAAGTGCCAAACACATTTATATTTCCGCTTGATGCATAAATAGGCATTCGCGCTTCTGCATAGTATTGATTATGCCGAATGCACTTAGTGGCAAGACAGCTTAATCAAGAGTGTATAAATCACGGCGGACCATAAAGCGATGAATAAAACAAATACATAAAACTAGCATCACACATCGGCAGCTGGCCCCTTGGCAGTATTTGTCAAGCTTTACGCTTATTAACTCGCTCCCTGACTCGCAGGCTCGCAGGCTCTGCCTGGCATTATAAATATATTTATACATATACTACAGAGATGCTTGCGGACAGAGCTCGCGGCACTGGGGGAGATGTAACACTCATTGGAGTGGCTGGCCAGAAATGTACAATTCGAATTTCGAGTGTGTGAATTAAAATGGCGGCAGGCTATAAATTAAATTGTACAAAAGTGAAAACAGCGAAGATGCAGTTTGGAGTGTTGCCGTCCCCTGTCCGCCATCCGCCATCCGCCACCCGCCGTCCGCCTCCTCCACTGGCTGTCGTCGCATCGTCGTCTGTCATAATCAGCAGATGTTCGCCAGCTATTCGCAATTCGCAATTCGAAAGGAGGAAACGGCGGCTCACAGAGTTACATGGCCAAGAGGTGAGACGCGGCAGACGGGATAGTGGCAGCTGGCCTAAGGCCGGGCAGTTGTGCTAACTAACAAGCCGCTTGAGAGCTGGGCTGGCAAATGATGTTGTTCGATTCGGGGGAAATAAGAAATGCACGGCTTCATTATTTTGTTTTGATAATTTTTTTGTATTTTTGTGGGTTTTATACTTTTTAGGTATTTTTGTTTGTTTTTATTGAAATTCCTTAGATCGCAAGAAGCGCACAGAAGTAATATGTATGGTAATTGGTTTTTTTTTGTTTTTGTTTTGTTTGTTGTATATAATATATAAGTAGTAATATTGTATAGAATTTTCTTATATATGTTTATCTTCTTCTTTTTTTTGTGTTTGCTTTATAATTATATAATTAAGTATAGTATATATTATATACAAATCTCAATAGATTGTTGATTGATTTGCCGTAATTTACAATAAATTTTGTGTTTTCGTTTTGTTGTTGTTGTTGTTGTTGTATACAATATATTAAGAAATATTCATAAATTTAAAGTACGTGCTACATTTCAAAAATTTTCACATTACACTCTAAGTTCCTAACGCTGTTCGCTTCCACATGTTGCTTATTGCAATATTGATACGGCTAGACAACTAATATATATATATATATAGATGTATATATATATAATATGTATGTATATGTATATTTGTATAAAAAAATTCTCCATCTAAGCTACAGGCATGCAACAGACTCGTACACAAATTTTAACTGAATTGAAATTCAAATTAAAAAAAGAAAAAACACAATAACAATAACAAAACCGAAACAGAATTTGGTCCAAAAGTTTGTCATTTAGCTTCACTCTTTTTTTTATTTCTTGTTTTTTTCTTGTTGTTGTTTTGTTTTTCGTGCACTTGGTACAACATTTTCGGAGAGCTGGACGAGGAGGGGGCCAGCCGGCCTATTACATATGTATGTATGTAGATACATAATTTTGCTCGGATTTGATCTTGCTGCGGACTGTCATTAGCATTAATGAAGCAATTGCCAGATCTACACACATACATACACACATACAAAGATGGCTTAATGCATTTGCATGAATTATGCTGATTTGTTTAATTATCGCTCGCCCAGCTTCCGATTGGAATATGTGGTTTGTAATTTTTGTTACATTTCGTTTTTTTTTTTGGTTTTCTTTGTTTTTTGTTGGACAATGTCAAATACTTATGCATATACATACATACACACATACATACATTATTATGTCACAATTATCTAAACTAAGAGTTAATACATAAATTCAAAGGCAAAGTTCAAAGTTAGTTTTCGCGCGCACACGAGACAAACGTTAAGTAAAAATAAAAATAATAAAGTAAGAGTTATAGTTATAGTTGTTGCAGAAGTCGGAGCAGACATACATATATGTACATACTTGCATGTACATATACATAGTATGTACATACATATGTATGCATGCAGGTTTGTTTACAATCTTCGCTCGAATTTCATAAATTTACAGGAAGCATCCATGTATGTATGTATATATGTTTGTTTGTCACTTGCTTGTCTTTCATTGTTGTTATTTTTTCGAGTTTCATTTTTTTCATTTGCACACACATACATACATACATATGTACGTACATACATACATAGCATAGAGATGAAGCATACATCGTACGAGTAGTGTAGAGTGGGGTTTTGTTTTGAAGCTCAGCTTTATAAGTAAATACTTAAATGTATTTTAAAAAAGTTATACATACATACAAACAAACAAACATACATACATACATACATACATGGAGTCATATATGTTTATGTATAGCTATATATAGATATCAGTTATCAATCATAAATTATCACCCAGCAGTTGTTGTTTTCATTTAAACGTTGTATTTTCATGCTTGCATCGAACAAACGAACAATCGATCGATCGATCAATCAATCAATCACACTAACAATCATTTTGCAGTACAAAGTTGTTTCCTTTAGCAGCACATTTAAGAATTTGACACAGTTAATGAAATCGAATAGGTTTACTCGTAAAGAGTGCTACAATTATTAACTTGCTTGTTTTTTATTTTGATTTTTTTCCAGAGATTTTGATTTGAATATTTTGTTGCTTGATATCGTAGCTAAATGTAAGCATACATATATATGCGTTTATTATTTTATGTTTATGTATTATCTATATAGCAAAAATACGATTTAAAAAAGAGGAAAAAAAAACAAATGTATACTCTTGCTAATATTTCAAGTCCTTTAGCCTTTCACTTATTAGCTGGCGGCCTCTCTATCTGCTTTGTGAAAAGTCCGTGTCGAATTTTCAATTTTCAATACACAACATATAGTATATATGTACGAGTATATGCATATGCGCATATATATGTAAGTATGTATTTGCATTATTGAGCAGTGCACGGGGCTGAGATACACAGAAATGATCATCCTAACTTTTAGTTTAGTTTAGTTTATGATTGTACAGTAGAAAGTTAATAGATATATACTTGTATACTATATGCATATGCTTGATTTGTATAAATACATAATATTTCGTTAATAAGTGTACATATACATACATATATTTTTTATCGAGTCAACAGCTAAATATTTGACTAATATTTACATGTCATCATTGCTGCCCGCACAACACTGGCAGGCAGTGGTGAGTGCACATTTCCCAACACTCCTTTTTCTCAATTCAACATCTGCGTGTGTGTGTGTGTGTGTGTGTGGGGTGTTTGTCTTCGCTTTTCGCTCCTTTGTTTAATTTTAAAATATAAGTAGATATTTATATATAATTCATACATTTGCTTGGAATTTCTATTGAGCATGCTGCCACAAAGTCTTACAGCCGCCTTACTTAGCATATAAAACGTTCAAATTATAGTTAAGAAAGCGCAAATTATACAACACTAGTTTCAAGTTTCACATGAAAATTTCTGTGGATGTGGATGCTGGTGGATGCGGGTGGAAGGGGTGTTAAATGATATTGACACTTTGCTTAGTTTGTTGTTTTTCTTGTTTTTCTTTTCTTTTCAGTATTATTTATTACAAAATGGAAAGGTGAGAAATGTAAAATGTATCTTCTTCTTCTTCTTCTTTTCATTGTTTTTTGTAGCACACTTGTGGGGGTTTTCATTCGGTTTTACAAAGAAATTTGTTTCGCATTTTAGAAACTTACAAAGGACAATTATTATAATCATTATTATTATATATGTATATGTATGTATGACAGGGCATGTGCTTCACACATGCGAATCGAAATCAAATCTAAGCCAAATTACAAAGAAAATTAATTTACTTATTTGCAGCAGAGGCGCCTCGCCAACGCCCTCTAACAGCGGCTTCTCTCAGTCTGAAGTTCAAACGTTCAATAAGTGTAGTATATAGTATGTGTGTGAAGAGGTGTGTGTGTGTGTGTGTGTGTATTATCTATGAAAACAGGAACACTAAAGTACACACAAAGTACTGCCTAGCGAAATGGAAGAAGAGCAACGGAAACTAGAATCTTGAAAAGCTTAAAAAATGGAAACATTCAGGTAGGAGTCCTTGCCAAGCAACAGCAGAGTCGGCGCCGAACCATCATGTGGATAGAAATAGGCGAACTCTCCGCTGTAGGTGCCCGCTGTTTCGGCTGAGCCCGCATCCAGACTGTAGACGGGCAGATCGTGAACTTGTTGCTGTGTCAGCACCAAATTCCCAGTAACATCCTGCGGCACGTTGCTGTTGTTGCTGCTGTTGCTGCTTCTCTTGTCATCAATGGCTGCAATGGAGTGGATTGTGGTTGTCATGTTGCTGCAAGATTGTTCTTCTTTGTTGCAAATGCAGCTGCTCGGATCGCTGTAGTTGTTGCTGTTGCTGTTGCTGGTGTGCATCTTTATGTTGCTGTCGTTGTGGCTATGGTAGTAGGTTTTGTTGTAGTCGTGGTGGTGGTGGTGTTGTTGTTGTTGTTGTCTAATGTGTTGTGGATATGCCATGATTGGCGCATTCTCTAGCTGCTGCTGCTCCTGCTCCTCCTCAAATCACGTGCTCAGCCAGGTGGAGTTGCAGGTGCAAATGTTGCTCGGAATCAGAGGTGCATAGTAGACGCCATTAGCATAGATGAGACTCGGTGGTGCGGTCTGTATTTGTATGGTTTGTGGCACAGCGGCGGCGGCGGCGGCAGCGGCTTGTGAAGGCTGCTCGGCGCCGGAAGCGGTGGTGCAGCAAATGGTCGCAGTGCCCGGTTGTGGCGCCGCCTGCTGCACATAGATGGTCTGGGGCTGAGTCTGTGGGGTCTGGTTCGGTGCTTGTGTGACGCCTGCCGTTGACACCAGGGTCAGTGTGGTTGCCTGCGGTTGTTGCTGTTGTTGTTGCTGCTGCTGCTGCTGTGATTGCTGTGCCGCCTGCGTCTGTTGCACTTGTTGTTGTTGCTGCTGTTGTTGATGTTGCTGCTGTTGTTGGTGCTGCTGTTGTTGGTGCTGCTGCTGCTGCTGCTGGTGGTGGTACTGTTGGTACTGCTCCTGTGCCTGGGCCTGTTTCTTTTGCTTGTTGTAGAGGACCTCGGCGGCCAGCGACTGGATGAGATGGAGGGTCTGCCGCCGCTCATGGCCCATCAGGCAAACGGTGGACATCTCGACCACCTGTCGTAAATGCATCAGGTACTGATACTGGAGGGGCTCCTCGTCGACGCCCCAGAAGTGATTGCGCAAATAGGCCTCCAGCTTGGTCGTCTGCGTATTTATGTCCGGAAAGTCAATGAAGAAGCGGGAGCACATGTAGCGCTCCAGTGTCTTGATCAGCTGCGAGTCCACAGCCTTGTAGTTGCGCACCAGCAAGTTGCAGTATTTGAGCAAACCACCGCCGCGAATCTCCTCCGGCTGGCGCGTTGAGATCAGTTTCTTTTGCAAGTGATAGAGCGCCTCCTGGAAGTCGCCGTAGACAGATTCGCCGACCACGGTCGGGTAGAAGTTCTCGGATATGGGAAGAGCGGCGCAGTCGTAGAAGAGCAGCAGCGAGTCGAGCACAATCTGGAAGGAGTCGACGGAGAACTCAAACTGACGTCGCATGGTGTCCACAAACTTCAGCTCGACGTTCTTGTGGCCCGGCGAGTTCCCCAACGAGATGAGGGACCAGCGATCGCCGTCATTGTTGTTGTTCACCTTCACCATCTTGCTAACGTAGGCCTCCTTGAGGGAGCACGCGTAGATGCGACGCTTGCAGACGCCCTCGGGCATCAGGTCGAGCAGGGTGTTCAGCACGGCGGTCTTGACGCGATCAAAGACACGCGGTGAACTGAGCTCAATGGCAAATATCAAGTCCAAGTCGTTATATGGCTGATCCTCCGAAGCTAAAACATGACTAGCCGCACCGCCGTTCAAGCGTATGTCCTTAACTAAGACTCCGGCACCGCCCGAGTTCACCTCGGCCTCCAGTTTGCGGCGCACCAGGTTCACCAGGTCCTTCAGTGTGACCTCCAGTGTTGGAAAATTGCCGCGTCCATGTATGGCCACCTTCTCGTCCATAACGTAATGCAATTTGCTCACCTGCTCGAATGAGAGCACGGCCAGACGCTGTGTGCCTCCCGTATCGACACTCTCCAGCGAGCCATGGTCCGATGTCGAGGCTATCGAGGAGCCCGAGCTGGGCGATGGTGGTGGTGTCTCAGTGCCGCCATCTGAGTGGAAGCCATCGTCAATTTGGTAGGCGTCCATTCTGTTGTTTCGTTGCTGATGATATGACGGTTCGGGCCCGTCTAGAGTCCCGCACTGCAAATAGAGTGAACGGAAATACAGAAAAAAATTAATTCAATCATATAGAGTGCTTGTATGCTCAAGAAAAATATAGCAAAAGACGATATTGTAATGAAGGAATCCACCAATGGAGGAATGATTTCAGCACACTTGTAAGCAAAAGATAATCTTTCTGTGACAAGTATGTATTTATTTATTTAGCCTGAATAGAATACAATATTGAGAAGGAGCCTACACAGTTCAAGTTTTTCAAAAAAGTATTATTTGGAACATTCGAATTGACAAATTCATTTGAGATCTTTAAGAATAATAGAATGTTTGTTTTCTCTGTTGGCGGAATAGTGCGCACTAAGAGATTTACACTTATTCGGACTATCGAGGAATCGGAATTCTATTATAATGCCTTTCTGGCATTATTCATAGCTAGCCAGTTTAAACATAAAATCTTTTGTAGTTTTCTGTAATACTGGTTTGGATAGCTTTTTTTTTGAGGGAGAAAGCAATCTTCATCCCTGAATCATCTCAACATCATCTCTAAATCATCCTTAAATCATCTCTAAATCTTCATATTTCCCTTCTATCCCCTTTACCTATGTATGTAACTATTAGAATTAGGCGTGTCAGATCCACCAGCCATCAGTTCTTGGAATGTTTAGGGCGTCGAAACCGCTCGACAGCAGCATTTAATTTTTCTTTAAAAATTTAATTCTTCTTAATCGTCCAAGCTGAGGCAAACAATAAATGATAAAAGAGACACTTTTTCGTGGAGGAGGCATAGTTTTCGTCACAGTTTTGGATTTTTGTGGTTCCCCCTGACAGCTCCAATTTTTACTCAAAAGCTAAATAAATATAGTTGAGTTATCAATTACGCGTAACTCCCACAATTCTCCAAAAAATATTTCAATTCAGTCTGATTGTGGGTAGCAGCTATTCCCATTTCCCCTTTGGACCTGACAATTCAAGTCTGGGCCATCATTTTGTCATTTCTATGCCGTTCATTAAATTTTAGGTATTATTTATGTGTGTTGTTTTGTTAAATTTTTGTTATTCATATTTGTTTATTATTATTATTCTTGTTATGCCATTGCCATTGTCGTTGCCGTTGCCGTTGGTCGCCTGGGGCTCGTTTTTAATTAATTAATTTGCTTTAAATTCGCTAAATTTGTTTGTGTGGCCAAACAAGCGGCCTACGCTCTAGCCATTAAAATACAACATTCTCATTTTTTGTTTTCTCTCATCCCGTTTGAAATGCTCGCTTTAGATATTTCCTCAAATACATACATTTATTTGTTCACTCTTTTCTGCATGTGTCCGTCTGTCTGTCTATCTGTCTATCTGTCTGTTTATTTATTTATTTATGCTTAAAATGTTGTTGCCAGTGGCTGCTCAGAAGCAAGCAGAGAAAGGGGAAAAGGGGCAGAAATAGTCGTGCAGCATTGCTTGAGCCAAATAAAAAATTTCCGCGTTGTTATCGAATCGACTATAGTATTCGGAAGATACCGCCGATGCCAATGCCGATGCCGATGCCGGGTCGAGTTAATTCTTCAGCTTCTATCGCTCACGCGGCCTGCCCGCGGCTACTTTATACATATGTACATATATGTATGTGCTTTTGTATCTGTATCTGTCGCAGTCGCTGTATCTGTGTGCCGCACAGTGTCCATTTATCGTTCAGCTCTATCTCTGCCCCTATATACATATGTGTGTATATACGAGTACATATCTCTCTCTCTCTCTCTCTCTCTCTCTCTGTCTCCAAATGTGCGTGTGTGTGTGTGTGCAAGTTTTTTTTTATCATTTTGTTTGTGCGTTGACAAAAAAATTTAATTTGCTGGCCCATGAATGTTCTAGCAACTACTTATTTACACAACATTATATATACTGTATTATATAGATGAATATATTTATGTGCTGTCCACCTTTTGCATCAATATGTGATTCGTAGCACAACAATACAAGTATATACATATAGTATGTATATATGTATGTATGTAGACCCAACTCAGATCAATCTTGCGTGCTGGTCTCATTGCCTGCATGACTGCATGATTCACATTTGTTTAAACAATTGTCGTCGGGTCGATGGCAATTTGCCTAAGCCGCAAGCAAATTTCTACAATTTTATTATTAATTTAGTTATCACACGGCAATAACTTAATTCGCGCTTAGTTTTTCAGCCGATTTGTGAATCCACCGGCATATATATCTATATATTTTTGACATGAGAACTGCCGCACGGCTTAGTTCACAGACATTGGACCTCTGCTGAGTCGAGTCGCGCATGGGCTTTTGTTTTAGATTTATAGTAGTTTTTGTGTTTTTTTTTTTTCACATTTTTCCATTCATTCAGCACCGATTTTCGACTTCATTTGCATGTGTGTACGAGCATGTCTTATACATATGTATTTATAGCACATATATACATACATACTATATATGCCAGATGTGAATAGGTCTTGGATCAGGCTGGTTCTTAAGTTGTAAGCTGCCTTCAAGCCCTAAATTGCAGCAGACTGGCAAATAATTTGCAACAAATGTATTCCCGATTTCTCCCATAGAAGTTGAATTGAATTGAAGAGCATATGTTAGAGGATTTTCAATCGATTTTAAAGAAAGCCGAACGAATTCACTTTTATTGATCTTCTAAACATTCCACTTATCGACCCTGCTAAGCACTCTTTAGTCACTCATTACATAAAATAATTAATATTGTAATAAAATGTAATAGATATTGTTTGCATAAGTCTTCTCTTTAGTAGTCTAAACAAGTAACGACATATTATTAATTTCATTTTATTTATATTCTAGATGAAAAGCTGTAATAAAATTACTAAAAAGTTGCAATTGTCAATTGAATTGAAAAAATATATGCTCTATTATATACCATCAAGAAATGTTTAATCAGTTCGGTCTTCAGTTATTCTTTTTCTTTAACGAAGTATACGAATGGTAATCAATTAAACTTGATATATATATATGTACCCAGTAAAGATAATGAACTATATAGTGTATATAAAACAGTTTGATTAACTGACCACGTTCCCTTTCACAGTGTCGGAGAGGTTTCTGGGAAATTCAAACTCCAAATGGGGAAAACCGGATTTTGCAAAATAAACTAATTTTTAGGGACTTGTTTGCCAGTTTATATAAAAAATATATGCATTGTTCGGAATATTTCCAGGTACATAGTCTATAGCTTTAGCGATTTCTGTATAAAAACTATGTTCATTTTTCTCAATTAAACTTAAAGCCTGATCGCACTTTGAACCTTTTTTTTTTGTCTAAAAGTTTTTCGTTGTTTTATTTGAATTTTCCATTTATTTTTCCATTTCTTCTCTATAGCTAATAGTTGTGACAATTTTTTTATATTTTTTTACTGATTGTAGTTACTTTTTCTCTTTCCTTCTCCAGAAATATAATTTATGAACTTTGTTTATATTAACCCCAAGAGTTGTCGTTTCTCCAAAAATGTCTCTTGAAACTTGGGTATTAATTTGACATGCGTTTTTGAAAATAAAAATTTGCAATTGTTGTTTTGCCTTTGTTTTTGTTGAGCGCTGTAATTAATTGAAAATGTTTCTATGAAGGCCCCATTGTTATTGACGTCAACAAAATAAGTATATACATACATGCATATGTATATAAGTATAATGGCTGTTAAGTATTTAATTACAATTGCATTTTCATGGAACGCAATTGCTAGTCATTTTGTTTTAAAAATTGTTTTTGCAATTTTATTCAAAGCAATAAGGATGATTTTTTATCAATAGCAGCACTTATATAAATAAAATTTCTTTTTTTTCCATTGCTCATTAGCAGCATTTTCCGTGGCTTTTAACTTTTTATCACCGCTATATACTATACAAGTATATACAAAAATATTATAGTTATGAAGAAATCTGCGATGCGTACTGGGTTATTATATATTTATTTATTTTCGGTGGAAATTGATTTGTTTTAATTGTAAGACTAAATTGTTTGTTTCTCCATAAATCAGCTTGAACATTGCTCATAAAATTGGCAACATCTGGCATATCACGTTGGCTGTGCTTTCTCTCGTATGTCATAATTCAGTTTAATGTAATTAACACATTTTTATATACTCGTATGTCTATAAACTGTTTCTGAATATATTTTGTTAGACTGCTGCTCGCTTTCCCGTGCTGAATTGACTTTCGTTATTGTTGTTAATTGTATCTATAAAAGCAGTTAGTGCTTAGACATTTTATGACTTCTCCCCGCAATAGTTTGAGGAAAACTGAATTCAAAATATTGAACATTTTGGATGAGAACACGCAGGAACAACAATATTTTCTTTCAATTTTTGCTTATTTTATAAATACAACTTTTCTTTCGTCTGCTCTGTTGCTATCGCTTAGTTAACCGTTATCTTTCGTTGTGGAAAAAAAAAAACTGACAAGCTCGCACATGCTACATACGTACATATGTATATACATATGTACATCAACACTACTCATATTTTAATTTGAAAAGCACGAAAAGGTTATGCACAACAACAAATTCAATGATAATATTTGCCATTTGCGGTTTCGCGAATTTCACAATACACTCATTCACATATGTACTCGCACATACACACATATGTATGTATCAATGTTTGTATGTACTTGTATTTTCTAACAAATAATAAATTATAGCTGCAATTTTCACCGGTTTCTTTTGATTTTTATTTCCATCTCTGCTCATGATCAGCAATATCTAAACATCATCATTATGATTATTTTCATTGTGCTGGGTGGCTGCAGCAACAAACACACACACCACTCTAGTTTAACACAAAGACGGGCAGGCACAGACAGGTGCATACGTGTACGTGCATGTACGAGTGTGTATGTATGTCTGTGTGTCTGTATGTTTTTAAGTGCAACAGCCAAAGCTAAGCATGTGCGTGCTTGGTGGCCTAGACAGACTGGTCTCAAATAAAAGTGAAAATCGTGGTTGTTTTTCTTCTCTCCACAACAACAACAACAGCAGCAACAGCAGCAACAGCAATA